ATGAACATATACACTCGGCTGTAGATCACTCCAATGTGCCCACCACTGCCGTGGACATCTTCCTGCCCACCCAGGCTGCTCAGACTGCCCTATCTTCGTCCACCCCATCAAAGCAGGGCCTATCTCCTCACCCAAGGCCTCAGTCACCCTACTACCTGCTTGCCATGACTTGGACCCAGAGTAACCCCAACTGGGAGCTCGGACCCTGACTCCAGAGAAGCTGAGAACTGGAGGCCCTGACCCTCGTGCCCAGAGCATTGGGCTCCCACTTCCCTCTTGGGGGTCCATGAGGACTTAGGCCTCTTGTTTCAGCTTCCTGCTAAGGCTGGGTGTGGGGATAGGGAGGTCGTGGCATCAGGGTCCCTGAAGGGGAAAAGGAGGATCCCTGGCAGAGGAGAGCTTGGAGGGCTCATGAGGGCAGTGCATGGGTGGACACAGGTAGAGTCACTCACACAGTGTGGGCCAGAGCCTGGCAGGCACCGTGTCTTTTGTAAACTTCCTCTGGGACCTCTGCCCCTATCCAGCAGTCAGCCCCATCTGCATTCCACGCCCTGGCTCCCAGCAGGCTTACAGAAAATGTGTGCCGAACAGACCAATAACTCCCCACCCAGTCATAAACCAAAGTCCTTTGACCATAATGTTATGAAAGCAGGCTGGAATTCTTCAGAAGTGCATTCCTAAAATGCAAGACAACTTCATGGGAAGAAAGGGCCCAAGCTTTAGACTCAAATAGTCCCCAGTTGGGATGAACTACACACTGGCAGGGTGATCTCAGGCAAGTTTCTTAACGTCTCTGAACCCTGGCCTTTTTTAATCTATAAAAGGGGAAGATAAGAACATTTACCTCCAAGAGCTGATATGAGATCTTTGATACTGTAAAAGAACCTGATACTCAAATACTTTCCCTCCCTGACTACCATGGAAATAAAGAATCACTCTTGTCCCTCCTCTCCATTTTTCAAATTGTTTTCTAATGGTTGCTATGTTACATTTGTTTTTACAACTCTAATTGAGGTCAAATTGACATACCATAAACTGCACATTTTAAATTATACAATTTGATGTTTTGCCATATGTATACTCTATGAAATCACCACCACAATCAAGATAATAAACATATGCATCAACTCCGAGGTTTCTTCCTTGTACCTTTCTAGTGCCTCCTTCCCCCCGCCCCTCCTCCCCCTATCCCCAGGCTGTCACTGTCAATGGGTGCACGTTTTCTAGAATTTTACAAAATTTTAGAATTTTATAGACAAATTATATAGTGTATATCCTTTATTTCACTCAGCATGATTATTTTGAGATTCAGTCATGTTTTAGTTTGTATCAATAGTACTTCCCTTTTTATTACTGAATAGTATTCTATAGAATGCACGTCCCGCAATGTTTATTCATTTGCTTAGTGATGGACATTTGAGACGCCCCCAGTTTTTAGTTATTCCAAAAGCTGCTATGAACGTCCCAGTGTAAACCTCTGTGAGAACCAATGTTATCATTTTTCTCAGGTATGTTACTTTTAAAAAGTGAATCTAATGCAGTTCAAGTGTAGCTAGTTCATCCCAGCTCTTTACAAGCAAACCTGGAAACAGTGGCTGCTTTTAACTTTTCTGCTTTCAATTTCACATGGTCCTTATTCACCTTAATGAAAACAGGGGGCCAACCAAGCCCCTTTGCCTATCTAAGGGTGGGAGTCTTCCATGTCCTCACTTTCACACAGCATTGTGAGCCCACGGGTGGGCAGCATGAGCCTAGGTCAGCCAGGGGCTGGGATCATGGAAGAGCTCCTCCTTATTTTTCCAGAAAAAAATTTTAATTTTTAACAATATGTAATAAAGAGAAAAAAATAAACAAAATATAAACCACAGAAGTGGATTCAGTTATTACCCAGCAACCAACTCCAACCCTTTGTGCCTTCACCAAATATTTATTGGGCATCTGCTAATGCCAGGAGAACTGCTAAGGGCCAGTCTCTGGGAATATGAGGTGACTAAGAGAGCCAGCATGTTCTCTACATTAGAGGAGCATAGAGTCCAGTGGGAGCAAGAAATATCAGGAGAAAGGATTCGGGGAGCTAGGAGAGCTTGTAGCAGGGACAACTGTTGTGTCTGCAAAGGTCTAAGGGAAGCCAGTGTGGCCAGAGCCACACCGAGCAAGGGGTTGTGGCATGCAGCAGATGCCACAGGGGTCACTGGGGGCCAGACCACAGGGCTTGCAGAGTTCAGAGCAAGCTGGTAGCCTGGGCTCCAAAACCCCAGGCTCCCATCCTGCTTGTCTAAACCCGACCCTGAAAGTCCCCTTTTCTGTGGCCAGTTTCTACTCCCAGTCTAGTTCCCTGGGCTGGGCAGCACATTTAAGAACTCAGGCCTGGGGTTTTGGTGCCCAGGGCAAAGATTCCACTAGGTCCTCCACCAGGGTAGCTATTTCCTACTCCACCTGCTGAAAGGAAGTGATCGTCCTATCTATTTGTAGGTTCCAGTGGATTAACTAACATGCGTGCAGTGCCTCATGCATGGCCTGCATTCAGCAGGAGCTCCACACACATTTAGAGCCTGCCCCTGGGTGATAAACAGCTTTGGCAGGGTTAGGGACCCTTGCCTCAGTTCTATGGCACCTTATCACCAGACCAATGTGATAATGGGTTGTTCCCTACTCCCCCCCCCCAACTACTCCTCCCTCCATACACACACATCCTGCTTTTAACTGCTCTTTACCCAGATAAAGATTAGTCATTCCCCACACCCTCTGTCCATGACCCTCCCAGTACACCTGGCTGCCCCCAGCCCCTCCCTATCCTATACAAATACACCTGAGGACAGACACAGCCTCAGAATTCCTGTTCATGTTCTGCCCTCCCAGGTAAGGACATGGCTCTGCTTGCTGTGGGCGGGGGGCAGGAGGGTCTCCGTGAGAGTACGTTGTTTGTCAGTATGTGTATATGTGCATTGAATTGGGATCTGTGCCTCTGTGTCTTTGGATGGGTGTGTACGTTTCGGTTGGTCTGTGTCTCTCACGAGTGCTATGTGGGTCTGTGTGCCATTTGGCTGAGTACCTGCATGTGTGCCTGTCCACCTGCCCTGTGCCCACTCCTGGGCTGGGCCCCGAACCTCCACTTTCTACTTGAGTTATAATTGCTTCACAGCCTCTGCCATTCAGGCAGAGGGGCTTAGCTGAGGGCAGCCAGAGCTGTCCCCACAAACGTCTGGGCCTGAACTGGGGAGAGACAGCCCAAAGACTATCTTTTCTCCTTCCTCCAATCCAGTTCCTGACTGGCCCTAAGATTTTCTTTACCTCTCCATCCCCCAAGTGCTGCCCTATGGGTCCCTTCCAGCCTTATCACTCACTAAGGGGAAGGATGAGGGAGCAGGAAGGATCATGGGCATGGTTCAGAGGCTGACCTCAGCTGAAAATTTATGGCACAAGTAGAAGCCAGTGAAAAAATGGGTGGCTCAAGAGGTGCAGGGGCCATGTCTTGTGAGGGGCTGGGGCTGGGGCTGTTGTGTTGGAGTGGGGGCAGTTTGTGCTTGTTTGCTCAGCCACCGTACGAGTACCAGATAGCCTTGATGTCAAGTATTTGATCCTGATGTCACAGTTCGTGGGTTAGAAAAAAATGAATGTACTATGTATGCTTTGGGTCTATTCTGGAGTTGTCCATCATGACTTACGTGCCAGCCCCAAGCAAGATGAGGCCAGACTTTGCACCAGGGCAAAGTCAGCAGCATCTGATAACAACAGCATGGTTCATTGGTGAATGACAAATTGGCTCAGATCCAAAGCCTCCCATCCCCTTTCAATCTTGGTGGGAGCAGATCGGAACAAGCAGCTAGGACCCTGGAAAGCTTTCCATTCACTTGGGCTCAGGGCAAAGATCACCAAACCCCATCCTACACTTTCCTGCTCTGAGTGCATTGATCTCTCTAAGCCTTCCTCTCCAACCGCTGTGCCAGGTGTTTACACAGGGGCAAGAGTCTGTAGAAACAGGTGTACCATGACCTGGCACATGGCAGGCACAAAACATGAATAATTAACATGACTGAAATTCCCCCAAGTGTAATTGAATTAATACATGATTGTGAGTCTGGGGGTGGATGGCGGGGGCAGGGGTGGGGGAGTGTCAGGTATAAGAGATGGGTTTCAGGGCCAGTGCATGGTGCTCTCTTGTGTCTCTGTCTACCTTCCATGTGTGTGAACCTGCTATGTCCATTCAACACCCATGCCTGGCACCTAGAGTGCCAGCTCCATACTGGGTACCAAGCTAAGTCAGAGCAAGCAGTTTTATCCCTTTCAGCCTTTGAAGGAACTGTGTATGTGCCTTCCTGGGAGAGAGGAAAGAGATTAGGATTTAGATTACAGTAAACTAAAACTTTACCTATTGAACACAGGTGTCACTGGTGTCCTTGCTGCTTTTGCCCCATAAGAATGGATCCACACGGTAAGCACTGTGGCTGGGAGGCTGTGGGGTGGAAGGAGGAAGAGGGAAGGAAGGAGAGTGGGGAAGGCAGGGGCAATCAGTCAGCCACATCTACTGCGTGCCAAAAATGTGCATGTGTGTGTGTGTGTGTGTGCACGCATGTGTGCAGGTGGTGGTAGGGTTCCGTAATGAACACAAGACCTTATATTTTATAGAACACCACAGTTTAAGAAACATGCTTACACATCTTTCATCTCACTGGATCTTCAACCTCAGAAGTAAAACAGGCAGGTGCTTTTCCCACTCTACACATGAGGTCCAGGAAGCTAGGGGTCATATTCAAGGTGAGGCCACGGAGGTGCAGCTGGGTTAAAGCCCAGAACCCAGCTCACTGCAGCTGTGCCACTGGCTCCCATCAAAAGGAAGAAAAGATCATCCTGGCCTTCCAGAAATAGCAGGTGATTCCCACCAATGAAGCACTTCAGAACTCTGTGGTGGGTTGCTGCTGAATGAGTCCGCTGGGCAGGTAGATTTCCTGCAGAAAGGCAACACAAAGTCGAGACAGGGAGATTTCCAGGTGGCAGGAGGCATGAGCAAAGGCCTGGATCTGGGACCAGAAGGTCATAAGCAGAAGCCATCGAACAGCTCTGAGGGGGTGAGCAGAGACTGGGCTGAGATAAGTGGTATGTTGACAGGGGGTAGATGGGGAGACTGGCTGAGGCCCACATGGAGGTGGAAGCAGGAAGATCAGGGTTTGCCACTGCAGGCCACTGCAGGGGGTCTCCCTTAGTGCCATGGGGTTTGGCTGAGGTTGGGAGGGCAGGCAGGTGACAGAGTGAGGACAAGAACCCACACCTCCCAACTGGCCCCATGCCACCCAGAAGGAGTGAGCCAGTGCGTGAGCACACAGGAAAGTCAATGTGTACTAACTTTCACATGTACCTGCTGTTGAGTGACTGAATGAAGGAATGATTGTCAGGCAAGTGACCAAGTCAGAGGAGCCTTGTTGGGGGGGTGGGGGGGTGTGCACAAAATCAGCTCCAGGGAGAAGATAGGTTTTTCTCACTGCAGAACCAAATGACCAAAGCTGCTTCTTTTTTTCTCCCTTCCCTTCTTTTTTCCCACAGGACCAAAGGTAGGAACATTCCACTTTTCCTCCCCACTGCCATGTCCTCCAGACCTTCAGCCTCCTTCCTAGACCCTCAGGGAGTAGCCACCACTTCCCCCAAATGACAACTAGGGAGCAGGCTCAGACATCGGCCCCATGGGGTGGGGCATTGCTGCATTCATCCACCCCCCCGCCGGCTGCAGCCTTCTCCTTGGCGTTCTCTCCTCTGTTTTCCCATCTGTCTCTCTCCTTTCCTCACATCCCCTCCCTGCCCAGCAGCTCATCCTCTCTCCTGCTGCTTCCCCGCCTGTTCTGTTCTTCTCTGCTTTCCTGGCTACCCCCACAGCCTCACTGGATGGCTGGCTTGCTCCTAAGCCCCGGTCACACTGCAGGGCCCCTATGACCAGCCTCTGCCAGGGAAGGGAGGCTGCCAGCCCTCCATCCCTCCCCGCAATTGGCTCCCAGCAGCAGACCAGCTTCTAGGCCTGAATCTGTGGCCCCACCACAAAAACAGCCATAGAAGGAGAAGCAGGCAGGGTGGGAAATGGCCGTTTCCAGGTATCACTGAGTCTGGATGAGGCAGGGGCTACTCTAACACAGTCACAGGAAAGCCCTCAGTCCTGGAGCCTGCCTCTTCCCTACTTGCACCAAGCCCTAATCAGGCCCTAGGATGCAAAAGCAGACTGGGAAGTTATCCAACACCTAGAGTAGGGGCATATCCACCCCTGCTCCGCAGGACCCCAGGTCCCTGGTGCCCTAGCACAGAAGCAAGGTAGTGTCTCCTCTTGCCTGGGCCTGTAGCAAGAGGCAAAGAAACTCCTCTGGCCTTGGGGTCTCAGGAGTGTTTCCATCCAAGACAGGTTAAACCACACTTTTTCTAGGCTGCTTCCAGCTGAGGCAGTAAAGCCTTGACTTTACTTTCTATTCTTGCTGATTTCTTGGGTCTGGCACCTGCTTAGAGATGGGCATGAGTTCACACACATACCCATTCTCATGCACACACAACTGTGCATCCCATGCATGTGTCTGTGTACAAAGCAGGCTGATATGTGCATCCACCCATGTGCACATACACAGACATAGCTATGTGTATGTAAATGCGGCACACACCCTATACACACACACATGCACACGCATGCACACATGTGCAGGCACTACCTATATAGAGAACACACAGACCCTCACTTTGCCACCTCCCATCCTTGGTCTCCTCCCACCCTCCAGCTTTCCTCCTCCTACTCCTTAGCTCCTGCATCTCCTCGACTCAGCCTCCTGTCTCTACCTGCCCCTGGCCCTCAGTGAGCTCCTCTGTAGCCTCCCCCAACCTCACTCTTGCTCCTAAGTACAGTGAGCCTGCAGTTCTTAGCATGGCAAAGCTTCAAGTCACTGTGCAAGGGTTCACGGGTGAGGGAAGGAAGAAGATAAAATAATTCTGCTTCTTAGCTACAGATAAAATAAACTGAAGTCCAAAGAGTGGGAGTCATATCTCGGCTCAAGTAACAGAAACCAGTAAATCTAGGTTCCTCCCCTTTGTCTGCTCAGTGCTCTGGTTTCATCACGGCAAAAGGCACAGGGCTAGGAGCAGTCACTTGCTATCCCTGCCACCAAGCCCTCCACCACAACCGCTTGCTACTGCCCAGGAATCCTGAGTCCCCCAGGGAGGTGGGGTGAGGGGTAGTTGATCTTGGGTAAGACTGGCACTAACCTCTGACTCTGACATTGCTCATTTGGCTTTCCACAGGGGCACTGCCATGGTGGAGGGCATGGCCATCCTCCAGGACCCGGTGGGGTCCCCCATGGCCATGGCCATGGCCCAGGGCACTGTCCTGGAGGGAACCACCCCCCAGGGCCATGCGGGGTTCCCCCTGGTCATGGCCCAGTGCATGGCCCTGGAGGCAGCCACCCCCCAGGACCCTGTGGGCCCTCACCTGGTCACCATCACTGAGGAAGCAGAAGAAAACAGGACACAAGATGGGGAGCCTGAGTGCTGACCTGGCATGGGGTCAAACCAGAATCTTCTACTCCTAATAAACAGCCTCCTGGAGGCCATGTTCTGTTCTTAAAAGAGGCTGTCTTCTTTCACATCCAAACTGGCATTCAGGGGCCTAGTTGTCTCTTAGTTCCTTAGTTGTGAAAATAGCGCACCCAGACTAACATTCTCAGAAGCTTGGCTCAGTGGTACCCACAGCATATGGCTTTTTTTCTCCTTTCCTTTCACTTCTGCCCCCTCCCATCAAGGGGCCTCAAGTGTGCCCTCATCACCTCTACCCTCTCCTGTATACCTAGATCTGAAAGACCTTCCAAGGTTCCAGCTTGCATGCCTCACTCTACAGACCAGAAGCCTTCAATGGCTCCCTACTGTCCTGGTGGATTTCTCACCATTCCCTGAAAATACGTTAAACTTTCCAACCTCCCTAACTTTGTTTTCACAGTTCCCTGCCCCCCACTCCAGGTTAGAAATGCCTTCCCTCTCTCCTACCTCCACATTTTCAAAGCCGACCCTTCCCTCGAGGCCAGCTGAAGCTCTACTATCTCTGTGTAGCCTATTAAGAAGAGAGAGGTCCTCCCTCTTTGCACACTCCCCCTTCTCTGCAGCAAGCTGCAGCAAACTGCAGAGAAAAGACGTATCAACTATCTCGTGGACCTGACCACACTCTGCCAGGTCGGCACCAATTTATGGGCTGGCCCTTTATCTCTCCAACCAAACTGTAATCTACTTAGAGCAGACCCACCATTTCTACACTACTAGATTCTCCTTCCCCATCCCCTATGACCTGGGCTGCATAGACTGGCATTGGCACACATTTTAGGGGTACCCCCCAATCCCTAGGCCTCTCACACTAGCGATATCTATTCTAGTTCTGTGACAGCCAGGCCCATCCTTTGTCCATCACACAAATATGCTCTACCCTCCCCTCTCTCACAGCTATTCCCTGATGGGGGAGCCAGCAAGTACCCTGGAGTGAGTGGCTACTGGGTACCTTCCAGGCTGAGGTGGCAAGTAGGGGTGACTATAAGAAAAGGAGCTGGGGGTCTTCTGAGTGTCTCTTTTCTCCCTCCCTCCTTCCACCATACTCTGCACTTGAATAACAGAGTCTGGGCTTCAAGTCCGAGGGGCGCAGACCCAGACCGAGGTCCAAGTCCAGGTGGACGGGAAGAAAGGCCCAATTTGAGCAGATGCCTAGCCTCACTGGGGAAGATGGCGCTGAGCGGAGCCGAGAGAAGAGTGGGACTAACGTCGCCCGACCTGCCGACCCCTCGGCGTCCGGCGCTGTGAAGCGCGGGCGCGGAGCGGCGCCCTCTTTCCGGCTGGAAGCCCCTGCGTTTCCAGTTGTGAGCATCTCTGCATGGTTCGCGCTTCCTCACGGGAAGAGTGAGGCCCCCAGGAAGGGCCAGATGGCCGAACCCCTAGGAGCAGCTCTCAGACCTGGCCAGGGTAGAGCGGCCCACGCCTCCAGCCCCGCGGTCTTAACCACAGCGAGCCTGCGCCCAGCGAGGCGGCGCTGCTGCAGGCCTCGGTCCCTGCCCCGCCGCGCTCATTGGCTGGACTCCCAGCTGTCCCTCATTGGGCATTGGTCCTCCGGAGGTCAAGTGAAAATCAGGCTGCTGTGAGCATACTGTTCTGTGCTGCTTTTTGCAAATCAGCAAGTGCCCCAACAAGGGTTTCCAGAGGATTTTTTTTTCTTAAGTAGCTCCTCTCCCTAAATGTCCTGCTACTTGAAAACCAAGAGCTGGGGTCCAGCAGAGTGAGAGGGTTCCCTTACCCTCCCTCCCTTGAAGTACAGTGTCTTAGCCTGTTTCAACTGCTATAACAAAATACCGTAAGCTAGGTGACCTATAAGCAACAAGTGTTTATTTCTTGCAATTCTAGACGCTGAGAAGTCTAATGTCAAGGCAGATTGTCTAATGTCTGGTGAGGGCCCGCTTTCTGGTTCATAGACGGACCTTCTTGCTGTATCCTCACATAGTGGAAGAGGCTAGCTAGATCTCTGGGGCCTCTTTTATTAAAGAAGTAACCACTCCCCAAAGGCCCCCACCTCCTAATACCATCACTTTGGGCGTGAGGATTTCAACATATGAATTTTGGGGGGACACAAACATTCAGACTATAGCATGCTCGGTTGACATCTTAATGAAGGGGGATCCCAGAACCTGGCCCTGCCTTGCTGCCTACCTGGACGGACCTATCTATGTGACAGAGTGCACGGGCAAGGCTGTTGCTGCACCTGCATCAGAAGTGCTCTCTTGGAGCACCAGTGAATGAGCTGACCCATACCCAGGCGCAGTTCCCCAGACAGGTAGGGGGGACCGCTCCGCAGACCCAGCTCGAAGACCTACCCAGCACCCCCACCCCAGATATCCCCAGCAGCCGCCATGTGTCGCCCCATTTATTCCCCAGCCCTTCCCGGCCCCTTCCTCGCGTCACCACGCTCCCGGCCCTCTTCGCCACGCCCTTATCCCCCTGGGTCGATTTTATCCCTCCCTGACACCCCCTAGTGTCAGCCCCCATCGCTCTCACCGCCTGGGGGGCCAGCCCCACCCACCTGCCTTTCCTCTAAGGCCGCGTTCCCCTGCTCCTCCGGCATCCCGAGTCCCTCTCTTTAGGCCCTGCCCCTGCGTCTTTTTAGGATGCCCCAAGCCTGCAGCAACCTCAGCCCGGGTTCCAGCATGTCGGTGTGCACGAGCGTGCGCATGTATCGTGGATGGGAGGCTCGCCAAGATGGGTGTCTTGGGGAGGGCAGACATTCAGCAGCTAAAGCAGGCAGGAACTGTCTTTGTCCCTCATTGTCAGTCGTTTGCCTGCCCTGCAAGGCGCCCGGCTGTGCACGTGTGGGTCCCAGTCCCTGCGTGTGGCAGCCACTGGCTCTCACTGGAGCAGCTAAGGTGGGCAGGATCTGAGGCTCAGACCCCGGTCTGTACCGCCCTGAAAGAGCCCCAGGCTGGTGGAACAGGAAAAACACCTTCCTGCTGAGGACCCAGATCTCAGTGCGTCTCCTCTCCCTTCCTCCACCATATGTGTGACGGAACAGTCCAGCCAGGTGGCAATATGGCGCAATTTCTGTGCCCTGTCTGGCTCTGCCACCCACAGAATCCGTTCTCTGACATGACACTGCCTCTCTCCTGCCTGGACTGAAATAAACGTTCTTTGGGGGCAAAAAGCAGGGATGGATACATTGTCTCCAGATGCTCCAGTTAAAATGTACATTCTGTACCTCAGCAGGAAGAGAAAGCTCCACAAGTAGAGAGAAATGTTTTCTTCCCTCTATTGTTAACACATCAGCCTGGATCGATTTAGCCAGGTTCAGTCTGAAAGAAACACAGCCTTCTTCAACACAGCCTTCTTCAACACAGGATGGGTGTGCTCCCTGGACGAGGGGCCTACCTGGAACTATGGCCTGACCAAAAAGCAGCAATGGCTCAGTGGCAGGGCAGGGCAGGGGTCTGGGGCCAGGTGCATCCCTAGAAGGGGCTGGAGAGTCATTTGCTGTCTTGGGTATCTTGCCAACAGTCAGCCCTGTCTGGTCTGCTCATCTCCCCTGGGCACAAGAACCCTTTGCTGTCCTCCAGCAACTCTCTGGGACCTCTGGACCCTCTCTGCACTTCCCCGGAGACCATGGACACTAATTAGGCATAGGGACTCAGCTCAATTCAATTCAAGAAACACAAATATCCTCCTGCTGAGCTAAGTAGCATCCTAGGGATAGATACACAGTGAATAAAACAGCACACACACACACACACACACACACACACACACACACACACAAGTCCTTTACAAATCACTAACTAAAGAGAAATTTGAAATAGTTCATGCTTTCTTTTTAAAATTACTTTTTAGGGCCGGCGCATGGCTCACTCGGTAGAGTGCAGTGCTGATAACACCAAGGCCGCGGGTTCGGATCCTATATAGGGATGGCCGGTTTGCTCACTGGCTGAGCGTGGTGCTGACAACACCAAGCCAAGGGTTGAGATCCCCTTACCGGTCATCTTTTAAAAAATAAAATAAAATAAAAAATAAAATTACTTTTTATTTTCCTAGTGGTATGAGCTGCTCCCCCTTCTGTCTTGGCTACTCTGTGGTATCACATGGATGTCCTCATGGCTGTGTGGCTGTGGGCTTGCAGGCATGGTTAATGTACACATACATTTGCCCCTTATGGGGCTCCCATGCTGGGGCTCTGTGTCTGGGGCCCTGTCAGCTAGGCCCTGATTGCTGGGCTGTTGGCCTCTTGAGTGAGGCATATGTCACCACTTTCCATCCCTCTGCCTGCCTACCCCAGTCACTTGGCTTACAGGCCAGTGGGCCTAGGCAAGCAGCCCAGAAAGTTACTCATCCCAGGGCCATGGAACTGAGAGGGTGAGAATAAAAGCTCCCTAGGAAAGTGAGGCATGGGGGCTTAACTCCTATTTTTACTGGGGCTCCTGAGAGCAGAGAGCAGCAGGGACTGCCAGGAGAAAGATTTTCTCTGAGAAGAATGGAGTTTCACTCTTCTCTTTGGAAGGATTGAGTCACAGGCCCAGCTCTATAGCAGTCAAATGTGGAGGGTTTCAAATTCTGAGAGAGGGTGAGATTGGGGGCAGCTGGTCCTAGGTCCCTGGAGAGGAATAGAAGTGGTTGAAGGGAAGGAGCTGGGGCCAGGAAGACCCTAGTGGAAGCAAACCAATGCTGGTGGCTATGACCCCCCTTGAAGAGGAGCCAGCTAAGGAAGCTGGTGAGCTTATGAGGTTTGGCAGACTGGTTAAGGGAAAGTACTCCCATTCTCCTGCATCACCCTCTTCCACCCCCCAGGTGCTGGTTTTCCCTAATGCAAAAGAAACTGACACTCCAAGTAGAGGTCTGGCTCTGAGGTCAAGCCCCATGCTCAGTGCTCTAAGGCCATGGGCAACTGAAACAGGCTCCTCACCTCCTTCCTGGCTGCCCCACTCTCCTATCCTCTGGAAGGCAGATGTCACTTTATAGAGGGAGACCAAGGCTGATGGGCCATCTTCATGCCATGGCTTCAGGACCCAGCCCAGACCAAGCACATGGCAGGGGCTCAGAAAAGACCTGCAGAATTAAAAATCTTAAAGAAGTAGACATCCACACTTATACACATAACCCAGGCCACTTATCCGCTTCACTCTCTCCCACAGGGATTGGCCTACAGGGTCTTTTATCCGCCAGAACACTGTCATTAACTATATGCAGTCATCTGAGGTCTTGCTTTAGAATAACTTTGGTCAAATTCCTATTTTTCCAAATGTTGAGTTAGTAAAAAAAACAAGTATCAGTGATTTAAATTAGGAGATCAAATTTTGATGCAGCTTTTGGACAACAAAAAGGAAAATATTTATAATTATATATGTACTGAGATTCTCAAGATGTGAGAAGTTCTAAAATGGAGATATATTATCTGAGGTGCCAAAAGAGGACAAATTGCAAATACAATTATACTTCCTAAAGTGCATGTTTCCTGTAGCACTGAGCATGGGAAGGAGCAGAAAAGCAAATGTGTCTTCCACATGCCAGGCTCCATGCCAGGCACCTCACATATGTTACATCACCTAATTCCCATTCCAAACTTAAGAGGTGGGCTTATCATCGTATCCTCAACAGACAAGGATGCCCATGTTCTAAGAATTGTGTGTCTCTCCCAAGGCCCCAGAGCTAAAGGGTGATGACTCCAGGAACTCACCTCCACTGTTCTTCCCTTTTTACCCTCAACATAAGGGTCATTCTCTCCCAGACTACTGGGCCAGCCAGCAAAGGAAGAGCTTGCCTATTTTTTCCATTTTCCCTACTTGGTCTCTGGGCAGAACTCGGCCACCATGGACAATGTCCACCTGCCACTGAGGACAGGACTCTGGCCCACAGCCCCTTCAGCAGTGCAGCAGGAAGACTGAAAGCTGGGGTTGGCTCAGCATACACCTGGCTCTCCCATAGGAGCCATGCAAGCTCTAGCAGGCTGGGAGAGCCAGGAAGGATGGGGGGAAGAAGACAGGGCTCTGCCCAGCCTTGAGCCCCTCTAGGAACCCCCATGGCTCTCAGGTATTCTGTTCTGTGGCCATCTTTTCCTGTCCTAGGTCTGGCAAACCTGCTACCAGGGTGGGACTCCACCTCCCCTCATACCCAAGGAGTGGGGCTGGATCCATGCACAGAGTGTTGCCCCGATGAGTAATTTTGGGAGAAGAATCTACTGCTGACTCCTTCCTGGCAAGCTCCTTGGGAGTCCCAACTCCCTCTCCTATCTGTGCACAGTATTGGAAAGCAAACCTTGTGCTCTGTGCATGGCCCATGACAGGGTTGGTGGAAGGGTGGCAGCTGCTTCTGCAAAACTTTCCCTGACCATCCCCATCCGTCAAAGCTGAGCCCTCTCTGAGCTCCCTCAGCTCTCTGTGACTTCCTCTTTCACAGTACTCAACATGTTGGACTGTCTGCATCTCCCAGCAACAGTGGGTGCCTAGAGGGCATGGACTGGGTCTTATTCATCCTAGCACCACTATTAGCAGCTGGTCTAGCACTCAGTATTCATTCAACAAACACTCCCTGGGCACCTCCTCAGTATACGGCACTGTTCAAGGCACTGGAAATAGGGACATGAACAAATACACCAGCCCCTGCTCTCCCAGCACTCACATTCTAGGAGAGACAGTCAATAAACACAACTATATAATCTAATATCTGGTTGCAGCAAATGCTATGGAAAAATATAAAGCAGGGTAAGGGGATAGAGAGCTGGTGGGTGACTATTTTGGAGAGAATAGTCAAGGAAGCCTTCTCTGACCAGAATAAAAGAAAGGGCCACACAGTTATCTGGGGGAGGAGCAACCCAGGCAGAGGGAAGAGAAAGGTCAAAGGTTCCAAGATGGGAACAGGAATGCAGCAGGTGCACAATAAATGTCTATCAAGAGAAAGAACAGGTGACTGCAGCAGAAAGAACACAGGACTACAAGTCAGAAGAACTGGGTTCAAGGTCCAGCTCTTCAACTCTCACTAAACCTGTTTTCAGATCTATAAAATGAGGAAAATACTTCCCTTGTAGGATTTCTGTAAGGAGTAAATAAGATCATATCTGTAAAAGCACATTTGGTGTCTAGCCCAGTGCCTGACAGGTAGCAGGCTGCCAGTAACGTTTTTTGAGTGTGAGGACAGAGGCATGAATGAGAGAATGGACCCTAAGAGGTAGGCTGGGAATGCAGACTTTGAGCCCCCACCCAGCTCACCTCTCCCCCAGAACTAGTAAGAAAACAACCCTGAGGCCCGGTCTCCTTGTCCTGCCTCAGTGAGCAATGCTTGGAGCATGGGATGGGCCACCACCACTCCCCACCCCAATCTTCTCTGCCTCCTCTCTTCCCAGGTCCCAGACCAAGGCTGTGGCCCCTGAGGCAAGTCCAGAGAGAAGCTGCTCCCTCCACAGCTGCCGCTTTGAGGACCCTTTCAGTTCTTCGGGACCCCCACCAACAACTTCCACTCTCCAGCCTGTGGGTCTGTGCAGCCCCTTGGCTCCTGTGCACTTCACCTATCCCCGGGCACCACAGGAATACCAGGGGGGCAGTTCCCTGCTAGGACTTGGGGACCGGGCAGCTCTGTGTTCCCATGGCTCCAGCCTCAGCCCATCCCCAGCCCCCTCACGGCATGACGGGGCCTGGAAGCCACCCTCTGTGCAGCACCATGTGGTCAGCGTCAGGTAAGGAGGGGTCCAGCCATCTGCTGGCTGCCACTGGAGGGTGGGGCAGGACTTAAAAGTGGGGCAGACCCCTGGGGCTCTGGATTCTTTTCTTAGGAGGCAGCCTGGATGGAGGAGGAAGTAAGGGTTGGAACTTGGGAGTGGGAAAGCCCTTTAAGAGTTAATAACATCTTCCCTATCCTCCCACCCACTCCCACCCCACTCTCCACACATACACACCCACCCCAAAAGAGGACTTTGGTAAGCAAGTGTCTTTTCTTCTCTTCCGCAGGCAGGAACAAGCCTTCCAAATGCCAAAGAGGTAGGCCTGGGCCTTCCCTGGACCACTAGGGCTGATCAGGCTGGTTCCCAGTTTAACTCCACTCCATGTGTCTCTGCTCTACCACCCCTTCTTGGTGGACCTTAAGCTCACTCTCTCTTTCCCAGCTATTCCCAGCTGATTGCTGAGAGACCAGTGGCTGTGCTGCTGCTGTGTCTGGCTGTCGTCCTCCTCTGCACCCTGGCTGGACTGTTGGGGGGCCAGCTGCCCGACTTCTCCGAGCCTTTGTTGGTGAGGGGCCAAGGGAAGGGAGTGAGGCCCCCAGGTCCGGCCACCTCAGCTAAGTCTGGGGCAGAAAATAGGAGTGGCCCAGCTGGGGACAGGGTAGCAATGGTGGGCCCTTGACCTCCAGAGAGAGTTGGGGAGACGGTATAGAGGTCATACTCATGTCCACAATCAAGGCAGGCGGGCTGACCCTCCCTGTTCCAGGGAACCAAAGGGGCAGAGCTGAAAAGGGCCCAGATGGAGACTCCACCCCCACACCACCTCCTGCTCTTCTCTGACCTCCTCCCTGCAGGGCTTTGAGCCTCGGGACACGGACATTGGGCGCAAGCTAGTGGTCTGGAGAGTACTGCAGGCCCTCACAGGCCCCAGGAAGCTGCTTTTCCTTTCCCCAGACCCCAGGGAGCTGAACAGGTAACAGGTTCCCATTTTTCCAAGGTGGGTGGGAAAGGAAGGAAGAACAAGGTCTCCAGTGTGGGAACATTGGGCCACCTCCCCAAAGGCAGGTAAGAGGGGCTTGCTGAGGCTCCCTGGGGAGTGATCTCTGGCCTTCTCTGAGCCCTCCAACCCTAACAGTGCCTGGCACAGATATTCTGTCTACCTCAGCTCAACCTCCCACACTGTTCTGAGCCCTGCACCCTGGGGCAGCGCCCAGGAGGGCGTTGTTCAGCCTCGGAGGATGGTGGAGTTCCTGGAGAACAGAGGGCAGGAGAGCTTCTTCTGTGGCCCCCCCGGTAAGCTGCAGCCTGGCCTGTTCCTGGCTTTAATGGTGGTCCCCATCCCACCTGGTAGGACAGGCAGGCCCAGAACAAATTTGAGCAAACAGAAATGGAAGTCAGCCAGCTGGCCATGTGTAAGCCAAGGAAGCAGGGTGACAGCTGGGAGGATGAGGCAAGTCTCGGGTGCCAGCCAGCAGGGTCAAGCTGGGTGGGAGTGGGCTACAGGTGCAGGATCAGGCAGCTAGGCACAGGTTTCAGGCTCCTGAGACTCTGAACCTCATATGGCCCTGGGTAAGCATCTTCCCTTTGGTGGGCCCATCTTTCCCTCTGGGGCCAAAGGACTGAGTTGCATCTTTCCCTCTGGGGGGTATGTTGCAGAGAAGAGCTATGCACAGCTGGTGTTCATGTCCACTTCAGAGGGCAGCCTGTGGAACGTGCACGCCATCCATTCCATGTGTCGCATGGAACAGGACCAGGTGAGGTGGCTGGGGAGGTGCCAAGGGGTCGGGGGAAACTAGACATAAGGGACCTGATCCCAAGGAATTACAGCTGAGCCAGAACTACCAGGGTAGACCGGGGAAGAGCATTTCCTGCTAAGAAAATTATTCCAACCCTCCTGAGAGGCTCCAGGTTGGGGTGGGAAAAGAAGAGTTGGCTATTTTCAGAAGAGCCAAGATACAGGTACTGGAAAAGAGCCCTTGCAGAGCCTGGAGATTTTCAGAAAGTCCTGAAAAGGGGCCTCACAAGTTGTCGAGGAAGCCCTGGCCCAGAAAGCTAAGATTGTAGGGTTCAAGGCCTCAGCACCCATCAAACCAAGCGGTGCCAATACAGTCATGCTAACTGGAAAACCATACAGAATAACAACTGAAGAAAAGTTTGCTGCTAAAAACAGTGTGAAAACCACTCACTAGTCCAAGACCCTCTTTCATACGAGGATATCCAAAGTACCAAAAGACACTGGAGAAGTATTCTGGAGTCAGATGTCTGAATTCAGGGCCAGCTCTAAAGTTCCCTTGCTTTGTGACCTCAGGCATGTTTCTTAAACTCTCAGTGCCTCAGTCTTTGTATATGTTAAGTGAGGATAATAACGGTATTTTCCACATAGGGATGTTGTGACAATTAAACAAGATAGAATTTGGAAAAATATAGTATAATGACTGGCAATGGTAATCTCTCAACAAATGTTACCATTGTTGTCACCACGATCTCAGGCCTGTGGTCACATAGCCAGTTAGTGGCAGAGCAGGGCCTCTGACTCCCAGGCCAGTGCTCTCTGTACTACACCAACTGTTAGGATGTCAACAGCAGGGTGGGAGAGAAAAGGACGCATGAGGTCTGAAAAAGAAACATCCCTGGCCCTAAGCAGGTTTGAGCAGCCCAGTAGGGGGCTGGGGTTTGGCAGTGACCCTGATCCTGGAATATTTTGGCCTCTGCTTTTCCCATCACTTGCTTCCAGCTCCATGGACCCTTGGTCCTGTTCCATCTGGCTGCCACCTCCACTCCCACTTCTGGCTTAGGCAGCACAGAGTTGGGGTGTATGACCTACAGGGGCCCTTAGGGCAGGGCCTCTCAGGCTGAGGCCTGGGGCAGCAACCCTGAGGCTCCTCTTTGATGGAGTCAAGATGTAACTGCTGGCCCCTGGGCCAGGAGGCAAAGGCAGCTCCAAGACAAGCCAGTTCTGCTAGGCTGTGCAGATTACTCTCTGTCTCTGCCCAACAGCCTGACAGGAGATGAGAGGGCCTTAAACAGGGCTGGGGAAACCTAAGTCCCTGGACTGCCTCTGAACTCTCTCCTGCCCGCTATGTTTGTTCCCTACAGATCCGCTCCCATACCCACTTTGGGGCTCTGTGCCAGCGTACAGCAGCCAACGAGTGCTGCCCCAGCTGGTCCATGGGCAATTATGTGGCTGTGCTCTCCAACCGCTCCTCCTGCCTGGACACTACCCAAGCTGATGCAGCCCACATACTGACCCTGCTTCGGGCCTGTGCCCCCTACTACCACCGTGGTGCCCTGGTGCCCTCTTGTCTGGGACCCAGGCAGGACAAGTCCCCACACTGTGCCCAGATTCCCACCAAATGCTCCTGGAGTAGTGCCATCTACCAACTCCTGCACTTTTTGCTGGACAAGGACTTTCTGAGTCCCCAGACTGCTGACTACCAGGTGCCCTCCCTCAAGTACAGCCTTCTCTTCCTGCCCACCCCAAAGGGTGCCTCTATGATGGACATCTACCTGGACCGCTTAGCCGTCCCTTGGGGGCTCTCGAACAACTATACGTCCGTCGCCGGCATGGACCTGGGCCTCAAGCAGGAGCTGCTGAGACACTACCTGGCCCAGGATACGGTGTACCCCTTGTTGGCCCTGGCTGCCATCTTCCTGAGCATCGCCCTCTACCTGCGCTCGCTCTTCCTGGCGCTCATGGTCTTGCTGGGGGTGCTGGGCTCCCTGCTGGTTGCCTTCTTTCTGTACCGCGTGGCCTTCCGCGTGGCCTACTTCCCCTTCGTCAATCTGGCGGCCCTCATCCTGCTCAGCAGCGTCAGTACCAACCACACGCTCATCTTCTTCGACCTATGGCGCCTCAGCAAGAGCCAGCTGCCCTCTGGGGGACTGGCGCAGCGCGTGGCTCGCACCATGCACCACTTCGGCTACCTGCTGCTAGTCTCTGGCCTCACCACGGGCGTGGCCTTCTACGCCAGCTACCTGAGCCGCCTACCAGCCGTGCGCTGCTTCGCGCTCTACATGGGTACGGCTGTGCTGGTGCACATGGCGCTGACGCTGGCCTGGCTGCCCGCGTCCGCGGTGCTCCACGAGCGCTTCCTGGCGCGCGGCTGTGCGCCCCCGGCGCAGGGCCCATGGGGCTGCAGCGCGCCCGCTGGACCGCCAAGGC